CAAAGTTGCTTGGAGTAGGTTTTTGAATTGTTTTTGAATGCAATGAACACGATTTATAGTTGTTCCTTTCTGTAAATCGCAGGTTTTGGAGATCCTACTCATGCAATGCTCAACTTTTGGGTTTCGCGTATTCAACCGGGATATTTATTCCTGCAGTTTGACGAGTCATTCGTGGGTAGTTTCGGTTGAATGAGTCCAATTATACACTTTTATGTCCTGTATATTGTATCTTTCGTATAGACGGTTGATTTAAAGCTTTAAATCTAACCGACAGATCTATACATTTGTGCCGTAATACAAGGTTAATCAGCCTTCTAGATATGAGGTTTGTTTAAATAAAAATTACTCAACATGGCCAAGTTTTTAATGAGGCTCGTTAAAAAACTGGTCTTTAGTATCTCGAGTTACATGTGCATCTGCATTTAATCACATTTACTTATGTAAATACATACTTAGCGAGTAAAGTGTTTTATGGCATAGTGGTCAATAATAAAAATAAAAATTCACAAAACCCGGACTTCAAAGGAGTCGCGAAAATTGAATTCCTGACCTTTTATTTAATAAGACAGTGATATACATATTTTGGTACTGAGAATTTCCTACGCAGAAATAAACTACTACCAATTAGGTAAGACAGTAAGCACTCTATAGATATACGAGAGGAGTAAGGAATCGGATGAGACTCACTTTAGACTGTAGGATCCAATGGTCATTGGCCCTTAAATCTGGATCCTACAGTCTAAAGTGAGTCTCATCCCATTCCTTACTCCTTATTATCCTCACTCGCACATTTTACCAATTATAGATACGGTGCGTCTCAAAATGAAAAGATAATTCTGCGATTGGTCATAATTAAATTAACATGCATTATCCAGTGCTTATATTTTTACAGTTTATTCTTCCAATAGTATGTAATGTTTGATAGAAATGGTAGCCAAATGGGGCAAATTTTAATATGGCTATAAACAATTTTAAATAATTTGCAAAATTGGACTGTCTCAAAATAGGAAGATGGGCAGTTTTAAATCGAGCTTAGAAGCACAATTCTTCTGACTGGAGTGCTATATTGGTATCAGTTTGTAAATTAATATTTGGTGAAACCACCATGAGCCAAAATAACCTCAAATATTCGACTTTTCATGGAATCAGTGAGGTGCCGTAAAGTTTCGATCGGGATATTGGCCCACTCCTGGTGAATGGCTTGTTCAAGTTCCCATTTTGACCTATACTGGCGTCCATGACTATAGACCCGGCGTGAAAGTTCAGCCCAAAGATTTTCCATAGGATTTAAATCCGGACTTCGAGCCGGCCACTTCAAGGTCTGTACGTTTTTGGCGGCCAAAAAGTCGGTTGTTGATCGGGAAGCATGGATACTAGCGTTGTCCTGTTGGAAAATCCATCCGCGCCCACCAATTTTGGACCCCTGCCGGATAAGATTGGCTTTCAGGACATCTTGATAACCAGCCGAGTTAGTCCTTGGTGGAATTGACACGAGCTCAGTCTTGCCATGGTATCCATATGCCCCCCGAAGCATAACTGATCCACCTCCTGAAAATCAATGAATTTATTTTTATCTGTGCTTTGATAAATGAGTTCATATGCATGTATATTGCTTTTTACTTTACATATTACACATGCCAGCTTGCCTCTTGGAGAAAATTTCTGGACTCTTTCTCAAATTGTGCCAGTAGTAGGCATACCCGTCTGGACCATCGAGATTGAACTTTTTTTCGTCGCTGAAGACGACTTTCTGCCACTCCTTGTCCCACGTCATGTGTTCTCGAGCAAAGTCCAATCTTGCGTCGCGATGCCTCTGAGTCAACGGGGGCTGTGTTATCTTTTTACGCCACTGGAGGTCCGGGTTGTTGCACAGAGTTCGATGAACTGTGTCCTTTGACACGGAAATGGGCAATTCCCTCGCAATTTCACGAACAGAATATTGGCCTGTTGATGCTAATTGCGCAATTTTCTGTTCGTCTCGCTCAGTGAGAATCTTTGGGCGTCCGATTTGAGCATTTTCGCCACCCTGATGGGTTCTTGAGTTCAGATAATTTGAAATAACGCTTTGAGAACACCCAAGAAAATCTGCAATTTTTTGCTGCGACAGACCTTGGTCTTTTAGGAGCTGAATTTGCCCCAATTTGAAATCGCTCAGAGGCTGACCTTTCGGCATTTGTTTGCACTTTACAACTTAGCAAATTACACTTACGACTCTTAACTTGCCTGCCCAAAATAACACTAGACATTAAAAAATAAAACGCCCATCTTTCTATTTTGAGACAGACGAATTTATCTTAATTTAATTATTTTATCATATCTTCCCCATTTTATATCACACGTGGATGAATTTTTGTGTGAATAGTACCAGATAGATTATCTGTACCATACATGCACGGTATCGCTGAGACATGATTCGGTCATTTAATTTTGGTCATTTGTATGATTATCTTTACATTTTGAGACGCACTATATACGAGACTCTACCAGATTTTTAAGTGTGTAGAAGACAACGAAGCATTTTTAAAAACGTTATCTTGTTGTGAGTAGATGTGATGCACTAATTAATAACGACATGTATTTAAATACGTCGTGAGTGAAGTGTCGCATTTGTTGGGTTATCAATAATTTTTAAAAAATTCCCCGGAAACCTGAATTCTAAAAAGTGACACAAATTTATATCCATCCCTGACCTTTCATAAGTATGAAATCCTTACGTATTAACATATCAGCAAGTTTCGTTCTAATTTTAATTAATACGCGGCATTGATAAAACTTGACCTGTTTTATTATTTCCTGGTCGGACCAGTCTTGTCGGATTTATCCTCAGTGTATATTTAGGGTTATAAAAGGCCCATTATCAGATGTGAATATTCAGTTTGTCGTCAGCCGTGAGCTAAAAATATTTTTATCTGAGAGTGCAAGCCGCACAAAAATTATAAGTTTTGCAGGAGAAAAAAAACTTCGTAAAATTTAAGTCTGTACTTTACTATGGTTGGGAAGACAGGAATGATTGAAAACGTAAAGTCATATATAATTTTAAAAACTTGAAAAACACCTTTTATTTAAATTGTCATGTTTTTTTAAATTAAGGTGTACCTGTATGCGGGTTTTGAGTTTGAACTTTTGTGTCTCACTTTCCCTTATGTCACGTATTAAATTGGGGATTTGTAGAAACCTACATCAAGCTGCAACACGTAGACAAATCAATAAACCTACAATGTCTTCGTGTGTTTTTTTACAAGTAATGATTTTATTGGGTCGATTAATCGGCAATTATACGAAATTAGGAGGCTAGAATTTTGATTATTTTCTTGAGTGAAAAGCTATAGCTTTTTTCGTACTATAGTACGAATTTTGATTTTTCATAAAATTCACGATGTCTGATGAATTTTCTAAACAGAATAATATCATGCAGATGTAAATATGTGTATTGAAAGTTTGAAGAATTTAGAGAATACAGTTTTAAGTAAATATGTACGTGCAACATAATAAGGTTGAAACACGAATAACACGAATGGCAAGCGTCCTGACGGGTTGACCCTTGTCCCTTGGTCGCGGGGGATGTTACTCGTTTGGGATTTTACCTGCGTGGACACATTCGCCCCCAGCCACCTTCCCGATACCGTGCGCCGCCAGGGCGCTGCTGCCAGCAAGGCAGAAGACCGCAAGAGGAAGAGGTATTCCTTCCTCTTTGACCGATACATCTTCGTCCCCGTTGCCATGGAGACCACGGGAGTTTGGGGCCAAGAGGGCCTGGCCTTCATCCTCCAAACTGGCCAGAGGATTTCCGCCACGACAGGACAGGCCAACGTCGTGAACTTTCTCCGCCAGTGGGTTTCGCTCGCCGCTCAACGCGGAAATGTTGCTTCGATTCTGGGTACACTTCCTCCAGGAAAGGAACTGGAGGAAGTGCACTATTTGTAGTCCGTTCTCTCTCTCCGCCTTTTTTTCGGACTTTATCTGCGATTTTTGTGTTTTTTTTACAAATTTTCTGCGATTTTTAAGTTTAGGGACCTTTTTCGTACGACTCCTGCGTAGTCAGCATTTTGCGATAATTTTTGTGATACTTTTTTTCTGCATAATTATACTCAAACAAACTCTGCGAACACAGCTTATACTCTGATAAATAAATAAACGTTTAATAAACACGAATAATTGTCTTTATTTAATGAAACCTTTTTTAATTAAACTGATACACAAAATATATTCTTTGCACTTCATCATCCCTGTAAAAAGCTTGGCAGACAAGTCGGAAATGTCAAGCATTTTCAGATTTTGTAATTTTTGACAAATAACTGAGAAGTTGACATGGCATTTGTAAATCCCTAATCATACCCATGTTAATAAGCCCTATCCTCCTCCTATCTCGCAAATTTTAATGCCCCCGTCTAAAACTTGCGCTTTCATAGCGATTTCTCAAATAGTTTAGAATATGCATTGAAAATAATTATTTTCTAACTAAATTTGTGTGCGTTGGTAACAAGACTTTTTAAAATTTATTTCATATGGGTATACTTGCCTAGTAAACAGGAATTAAATATTTAATCCAATTTGAAATTGTGTCAATTTAATGTAATTTAATGTATTTAGATTTCACAATTTAGAAGTATTGGTAAACTTATGAGTAAAAAAATTATGCAGGCAGAACAGATATTTGTATTTAGGTCATTATCCTCTTTTTCAAATTTATTCGTTTATTGCGTAATTGATGTAATTCCAGGTAATATAAAGACACAGATTTAGTTGTTGGAAGTGAAATTTATGTATAAAAATTGAGTTATGCAGCAAGGTTTTTAAGTATTCCAGACATTTATGTTGTTTACAACAGTGTCCTCGTGCTATTTATCTCGAATTTCATAGAATTGTGGGATTTAAATGTGTCCAGAATTAGGATAAGTTCAGAGAAAAACTGTTATGTAAATCACCATGGGGTTGGGAAGGGGTTAATATAAAAGTGTTGCGTTTAATAATGAATTTAGTACAAGTTTGGTGTTCCGATTGTACGGTCAGGTAATAACAACATATATAATTAAATGTCTATACGAGACTTTACCGCCAGTAGCCGCGGAAGCTCTGGGGTCATTGAAAGACATTAACATTGCAAGATAGGAAGGAGTGGGGTTAACATAACATGGTAAGATTATGGGGACAACGAAAAACTGTGGCGACCTTGTCCCCAGGCTTCCGCGCCCACTGTCTACCGCCATAATATATTAAAAATAGTAGTACATTCATTATCACCGTGTTAAAAATCGTATATAACCCAGGAGCACAAAGTATTAACAGTGCGGTACGGAATTTTGTAACGCTTGGCACTAAATTATTACCATAGTGGAAAAGTCATGTACTTTGATGTTAATATTAATTTACAATTTCCAGTGTATATCTCAATAATGGCGCAAAGCACAACTTCTCCGGGAATTGTTACTTTCAACTTTTTTACTTTTTCTTATAATTCAACAATCACTGGGATATCGGCAGCATGGAGAAGTCTGTAAACCTCCGACCTATCCCGAGATCAAGCACCAGGACTGTGACCCGTTCTCCTTTCTAACTTGTCAGAATGGGTTCTGCGCATGTCACAATAATCGAACAGACGCCAAATACGATAAAACCAGTGGGAAATGTGTAATTCCCATAGGGGCAAGATGCCACCCGCAATATTCCCACACGAAAACTAAAGGTTGTGCGGCAGGGAGGTGTGACTGGTTTACGGAAACGTGTACCTGTTCCCGGGGTCAAGTTGGGTCACCCGATGGGATGTCCTGTTCCAAGTTAATTGACGAAAATTGCGGGACAGATGCAGAATGTGGATTTCCAAAAACGCTGCTGAAATGTCTATCTGGAAAATGCTCGTGTCGCACCAGTTTTGGCCATTATTTTGACGAAGAGGCGGCAATTTGTCGGGTTCATATTGGAGTCACGTGTCATCCCGGAAGTAAACTGACGTGTGAACAAGAAGCGGAATGTGTCCCGATACCAATTCCGAGACTTGGGAAGAAGTCTTGGTGCCAGTGTAATGCCAATTATCCGACGGCAACACAGCTGTCGCAAGAGATATTTTTTGATTCTTTCCATTATGGGTTGGCGCCTTGTGTGAGGGGTAAGATGATACGAGATGTTGTTTAAAAAATGAGAGTTCGGATGTTTGCATTGTGACAAACTTTTTTAAATTATTTTGCAAACTTAAGCCTCCCTTGGAGATGGGCAATTTCGCAAGCAACTTGGCAAGCCAACAATTTTGCGAACTTTATTTTATTTTTGCGAAGTCGTGACGAAAACCCTAAAAGTTCGGAATGTTAGCAAAATTTGTGGTTTTAAAAAAATTCTAGCGTAATGCAGATCTCGAAGGTCATCGTATGTTGCCATGCAAACATGCGATGAAAGGTTTGGTGTTTTTTATGCAACTTTGAAATTTTGCAAATTTTGTTGCCAGTTTGATTTTAATGCTGTACTTCAAATTTTTCAATTTAAAAATTTCACAATTAAGCTATACATCGTTTTTAAAAATGGTGTCCCCTAAGAAATAAAATGTTGGGGGGAAATTTACTTAAATTTTGAACTTGGTATTTTTTTAGTTCTGCAGTTTGGGGAAGATTGTTCTCGAGTGGATTATAAATCTTTGCCTCCGATTTCAAAAATCCGGACGATTTGTGATGACGTGGCACAACTTGAGTGTCTCCAAGGGAAATGTGCGTGTCGATTAGTGGGACAGAAATATGATGTGGTAAAGAAATCCTGTGTTTCTGGCCTGGATGGAGACTGTTTTATTCCCAAGGCAGCGTACAACGAGTCCGGAATAACGTCTGGAAGTCAGACGACGTATCTTGGAAGTCCGTGTGCGACTGGGCTGAAATGCGTGATCACAATGGAAGATTACTTTGGATGGAGGGGGATTTGCGATTTAATTTAAAGAGATTATAGAGAACTTTAAGTTTCCGGAAAGTGTATCTTGATAAAAAATAAATAAACCGTAGTAACGTTAGAAGTAGCTCACCCTGCCATAATGATTACCCAGAACTTCACCGAAGGTGCGGAATAAGCCGACAAAATAGATCATAACTCTTATATATTCTTCAAGAATAAGTCTTGCACCCATGGTGCAACATATCCGGGAAGTCATTGCGCATTAGCGACCACTCGGGATACATAATTTTGAAAACTTTGTCAAAATTGTATTATCATTTCTCCCGGATATTTTGCACTATTGGTGCGTTTTGCGTCCCTTCTCCCAATTATTTCGCATCATTTTTTGTTACCGATTGTTAGATATCAACTGTGCTATTAATTTATTAAAAAATTCGATTCGGTTTGTTCAATACCAATGGTGCGCCTAAACCGTAGTAACGTTAGAAGTAGCTCACCCTGTCATAATGATTTCCATATAACTTTCCACCAAAGGTACGGAATAAGGCGACAAAATAGATTATAACTCTCATAGATTATTGCACCAATGGTGTAATATAAACGGAAAAATTAAAAAAAAAATCGAAATTAGTTTGCACCACTAGTGGAACATTAGCGACCAACGAGATATACAATTTTGAAAACTTTGAAAAAATTGTATGGTTCCTTGTTAGCTCACCCGGCGTAGCATGAGAGCTATTGAATTCCTCTTGTCCCGACATTCTGCATCATTGGTGCGTATGGCATCCCTTTCCTAATTATTTATTATAAAATTTATATATTTTAGCGTCATTGATGCAGAAAAATCGAACAAATAGAACAGATTTTTTGGGGGAAATAGATGGTCCAATTGTTACGCCTCATTGATTTTTGGGGGTAAATAAAGGGCCCAATTGTTACGCATCATTTTTAATAACCAATTGCTCGGTACTAATGGTGCAACTTATTCCATGATTATAGTCCTATCTCGATATACTTGCACAATTAATTAGCACCATTTACGCCACGGATTATTCGATACCAATGGTGCGCCGAACTTATCCAATACTGGTCAAGGGGATTTTTAATTAGCATCAATTGATGCAAAAAACTCGTTAACAGACGGACAGACAGACGGACAGACGGACAGACGGACAAGAGGAATTCAATAGCTCTCATGCTACGCAGGGTGAGCTAATAATGGAAGTTAGTGTGAAATAACCTCGGTGATGAAATTTCTGCCCGCCCAAAACAATGATTAACATTGCGAGCAGGCTGAAATTTAAATTAAATCCATCAAGCTTAATCATTTCCCAATCAATAGCCATGATTGACATCTTTGAGTACATCTTGCGTCGCATTTTACAGTTTAATTGAGACTTTGGAATTTGAATGGCATTTTCGAACCGTGATTGACGTTTTGTGGATTTCGATGACACTTTGTAAGTTTGGTTGTCCCTATAAAGAACTAGCCTCCCCCATGTAGAAAGTATTGGCAAGGTTGTCGCATGGAAATCGCCTGCGAGCACTCCAGACTCCAGCAGGTTTAGGTTGGGCCACAGTGAGTTTTTTCTTGATCCGAAATGGAGTCAGGAATTTAGGATTTTCACCACCCAATTACTATTTTGGCCTAATAAGCAGGACCTGAGTCTTATTTCAATGTCACGGTGGCTATTTTTGCATAGGTAGTGGCTAAGCAGTGGTTCAGTAATTCGTATGTATTTCTGGCTTGCAGTTGCTCATGTGAACATAATATTTGATTTAAATACTTATCTTGGCAAGGACAAAATATTTGATGCAAAAACTATTATGGACTGACGAGTTTATGATATGGACGATAAAAAAGTGTATGTACATCGATGACTTACTTCAGACTTATCGAATAAGCATTTATCCTGATAAATTTAATATATCAATCATAAACCATCAATCAACCATAATCCCCCTGAGGTACATACGTGCTATCTATAGATATTTATCATACTTAATTCTTGGTACAGTAAATTTGTTTAAATATGTAAAAATAAAATTGGTCAGGTGAAAAATCATCCCAAGCAACTCCATTAAATAAAGAAGTTAAGTTATTTTGTATTTCTCGTTATCTTAGATTGTGTTTTGTATGGATCGCTTAACTGCTATTTAAGATATAGCTTTCGATCATGATATATGATCACCGGCATGTTAAATAATCTCCTTCAGATGCAATTAACCTCCTGCAAAAATTAGCCACAAGAAAGTGCTCTCTCGCAGATACTTTTTACCCTCAAGACGTGCAGGAAATACAATAAATTACTTCCCGCCACTATAGTCCATATATCGCGCCGTTTCTTGCGCTTATTTGCATTTCTTGCACCTTGCATTTCTTGCACTTCTTACTTTGCACCGCAATAAACACGGCAAACCCGAAAGAAACGCAAAACTGATTAAATACATATAACTAACAGGATAGCATGCGCTAGGGAAATAAAGAATATTGCTTTGACATTTTGTAAAAAAATCAACATCGCTTAATTATAATTTTTTATGGCCATTTGTTTTCCTCAATGATACCAGATATATAGACTATAGGAATTTATGCGCATATGTAAGCACATTTTATGTGAATACTGGAAAAGTAAGTAGTGAAGTATACAGAGGGTACATAGGGCGTCCCGCTGATAACGATTTTGACCATTAATATATTTGGCGCCATTGGAAATTTTGAATTGAAATTTTTACAATTTGTTCGCCTTATAGTCAGCATTATTGGTGTAAAATTCCAATTCGCTAGTCTACATGGCAACCTTCAACCAACCCCAAAGTAAAACACTGATGATTTTTTTGTTCCAGACCTAAATTATCCTATGGAAGCACATGGGGCAGTTGTTGATAAGCTAAAAATGTCGGGAAACAGCAAATTATGTGACCCCATGCCTGTAGTACACAATGCAGTTTAAATTTTGATAAAAAAATAACTGGGTAGAGTTTCAGCGTAAAAGTTATAGCAGCCCCCAAACTCTAAAAATGTCGCTAATTATTTCCAACTAACTCCATAACACGAAATTAAATATTTGTACTCCAAAATCTGTTTGTATTTCCACCAGTAATGTCTCCTCTGACTGCAAAAATAATAAACCATAGTAACGTTAGAAGTAGCTCACCCTGTCATATTGACTTCGATATAACTTTGCACCGAAGGTGCGGAATAAGCCGCCAAAAAAATATTATACTTTTTATAGGTATATTCTTGCACCAATAATGCAATATAAACGAAAAATACAAGACATTGGATATAATATTACACCAATGGTGCAGCCGAAATGGTTAAAATCGGACCTAATTTTTGACACGATTTCGAGGTTGAGTTCTAGTCAGCCAGGGCTAACTAGAACTTTCATTTAATCCTAACCATTGGTATGGAATACATCGATTGCTCCAATTATTTAGCACCATTTTGCGTTAACGAGTTTTTGATACCAATTGTGCTACAAATTAGGGTTAAAATTGTCTTGGGACTGAATAATTAGCATCAATTAATGCAAAAAACTAGTTAACAGACGGACAGACAGACGGACGGACTGGAGGAATTCAATAGCTCTCATGCTACGCAGGGTGAGCTAATAATGGAAAATAAACCGTAGTAACGTTAGAAGTAGCTCACCCTGTAATAATTATTTGGTTATATCTTGCCCCAAAGGTGAAGAAAAATGCAACAAAATAGATACATAAGTTTTATGCAATATTGCACCAATAGTGCAGAAAAATCCAACAAAATAGATCAATAAATATTATGCATCGAGGATGGTTCAAAAATTGTGCATCACTGGTGCAGAATTACCTACCAACGATCAACGATAATTTTGAAAAATTCATGTCAAAATTGTCTAATAAAATCCGCCGAGTAGTATGCACTATTGGTGCGTTTTGCATCCCTTCTCCCAATTATTTCGCATCATTTTGTGTTACCGATTGTTAGATATCAACGGTGCTATTAATTTATTAAAAAATTCGATTCGGTTTGTTCAATACCAATGGTGCGTCTAACTTATTCAATAATGGTCAAGGGGATTTTTAAATAGCATCAATTGATGCAAAAAACTCGTTAACAGACGGACAAGAGGAATTCAATAGCTCTCATGCTACACAGGGTGAGCGAATAAGCGATGAAAATAGATACATAATTTTAACCTAATATCGACTCTGAGCTCGCTCTCCTGAAAATGCGGTGTCAAGATTGTTTAACTGCTACTGCCAGTTATTCTGTACTTCTGGTGCGCTTTGCATCGATTGTCCCAATTGTTTTGTACCGTACAAAATAGACAACCTAGATATGTAATTTTGATAGAATTATGCACCAATGGTGGAAAATAAGCGGAAAAAATTGTTAGCCAATTTTGACATAGATTATTGCATACCAATTGGGCTACTAATTTGGGTCAAAATGGTTTTGGGACTTATTAATTAGCATCAATTGATGCAAAAAAACTCGCTTATATCTCTGGTGCTATTTACACTAGCGAATTGAAATTTTACACCCATAATGCTGACTATAAGGTGAACAAATTATAAAAATGTCAATTGAAAATTTCCAATAGCGCCAAAGATATTAATGGCCAAAATCGTTATCAGCGGGACGCCCTCACCTCAGTACTGCTATCGAAACGCCGATATGTTTGGGAATCATTGCAATTTATCAAGCATCTAATCCTTAGACTTATTACAGTGAAAGCATTGACTCGTAAATATGTGTGTATCAGTATGTGTTAAATAAGTAAACGCAGACAACCCTTATCCGTAACAGGTAACCGTATTTAAATACGGTTACCTGTTATGTTATTACAATTGTAATTACGGAAAATTTCGAAAGTTTGACGGTTACAAATAGTTATTCAATTAATTACTCAAAATATCCTGTTTGTATCATTGTATAATATTTGCGCTTAACCTTCACCTACGCATTTGTATGTATGTATGTATGTACAACTGATAAATTTAATCCATAAGTTCTGTTTATGCAAATATTGATATCGCATATTTTGCGAACATATTTATATACTCGAATTAATGAATCATGATTCATTTATTACTGCAGTAATAAATTAATACAGTTACGCATTTAACTATTATAAATAACTTATGTACGTGTATTTCGTTGAACTTTGTTCAGTAAACAGGAAGGATTAGCTCTAATGTGAAACTCGTCCTGGTAAATACAATCACGAGTTTTACAATCTCGGTTTCCCTTTACAGCACAATATTACTTGTAAAAAACAAAAGGATTAGTGATATCTATCTGTTTATTCGTAGAAACCAAGTTGCGGCATTTATTGCAAACACAAAACACTTCGTATAATTTTGTTATCGATCCCGGGAAAGCTTAAATATGCTTACGTACATTACTTAGTGATTTTGACGGTTGTATATTGTGTAAATGATTCATAAAACTTTCAGGTATTTATAGCAGCTTGATTTCACACCATTTCCCAATTACAAGGTTGCAACTTAATTTTGTAGAAAATTGAATAATTATTCGTATATCTACTTAAAAATGATGAAGGTTTCGATTCTTCTACTGCTTGGCTGGCTGGGGTCGGGTGCATTTGCAGTTCCGGTAGGACAGCCCCTACCACCAAGCAAACCTACGAATTGTAAGTAGAAATAAATCGCCCATATGACAAGTCGCAATCGTCGCCACGAATCTCTACGAACTCTTGAGCGAAATTTTGCTCAGAAACGCGTAGAGAATTAGTAGCGTCTATCGTGACCTGTAAAATATGTATGAGACTTGGAGATAATTATCGAAATACTAACTATGACTAACTTTGTGCCTTTCTTTAGACACTCTTCTTATGGAATATCCTGACTTTGTAATCCCTTCTTTTGACATTAAATACACGGAGGAGCAACTCAAATCGAGATCCGGACTCGTCGATGAACGGTACCGATGGCGAAATGGATTCATAGTCCATCCAAGTCGGGATTTCAGTGAGTATCTAAATTCCAGCCGATTTCCTAACAAAAAATACATATATAAAATTGCATACATAAAATGCACAGCGGCGTCCGAGTACCAAGTGATTAACGACGCCCTATACGAACTGTGGACCCATTTGTGCATTCCAGTTTTGATATGGCCACAAAATTCTAACCCAACTGGGGATTATGTCGAAATTGTTCGTGGCGGTGTGGGCACTGGGTGTTGGTCGTACTTGGGACGATTGGGTGGTAGGCAGGTAAATGAATCTATGTATTTCCGGTATCTTACACCGGTGTTGTGAAGGCATATTTACGGTAGTGAATTAGATAAATTGGAAATGATATCCTTTACAAAATCAACATTTTAGCGGATTTAATACAAAAGCAGGAATACCGGTGCTAATCCGATCCGACCGGATTATCCTACCATTTACTATAACATGGATTCGATCCGATCGTGTCCATGTTATTGTAAATGGTAGGATAAAAAAATCCAATCGGACGGATCGTATCTAGCACCTCTTAGCAGGAAGGCAGATATTATTGTTGATATTCGTTAAATATTCGTTCGTGATGCCAGAACTTACAGATCTAATAGTTATCTGTTAGTAAGATTTAGGCTGATGCAAGGATTTAAATATTTAGAATATGAACCTTCAATACAACGGGTGCATTGTAAAATATATCGTGATCCATGAATCCATTCATGCCCTTGGATACGACCATGAGCAAGCTCGAACGGATCGTGACGGGTTTGTGAACATTCTCTGGAACAATATCATTCCGTGTAAGTAAATATGTTTTGTGTACCAGAGATGAGTCGGGTCCCCGTTATTCAAGAATGGGCCTGATCCGATCCGTGCCTAACGAGCCGAGCCTTCTTGAAAATCATAATGACGAATCTGATCGGATCCGGCTTTTTTAATATTTAGGTAACAGATCGGGCTTTTTTAATATTTAGGAAACGGATAGGGCTTTTTTGATATTTTGGAAACTGGTCGGGTTTTTGGAACCGGACCCGACTCACCTCTTCTCTATTACAGTGATTAGTTGATTTTATTTTAGTTGAATTTCTTATATTATAAATATACTCTTAGCTCAACAACATAATTTTAACATTCGTCCGGGATCGACCACTTTTGGTGTTCCGTACGATACCAACTCAATCATGCAGTACGCGAGCACCTCTTTCAGCCAGAACGGACAGCCCACCATTGTAACAAAGGCGAGGAAATTTAATTTGAACAAAACGAAATTAATGTAATTGCTTGAAGTCACATTAACCTTAAATATTTATTTGCAGAGTGGTGGCCAAATTCCAACAAATAGAGATCTAACTGGGAATGATGTTCAGAAGTTGAAAAGGATGTATAACTGTTAATTAGTTATACTGACATTTTACAATGTCTGATATGTATTACGTTAAATGCACTTGCTGTAACAATCTTACACTGTAAAATGTACGTGTGAAGGTTTTGACTAGTATTTAACTTTTGAATATAAACTAAATGTTTTTATTTCTGGGAAAAGAACTTGCTATTTTTGACGGGTTTATCACAATAATCACAAATGTCTATAGTAATTGAAGCAATTAAAAAGCCAGGAAACATCGAGATAGATAAGTAAGTTGGAATCAATTTATATGTCTTCGTAAGAAAATGGATAACAAGTAGTATTTTATACCTGCAATTAAAAAGTTAAATAATTTAGTCACCCATGCATAAATATTGGTTACTTTTATTGACAGTGTACAAACAAGTCAAATGCGTACAATACATTCTTTTGAAAATAATAGATACATACTCAAATAATAGGATGGCATTCATCCCATGATTAGTTTCTTATTCACGGATCAGTACACTTTTTTTACTTTCATAATTAAACACTCACCAAACCTTTTGTGATACTTACTTAAGAATCTTTTGTGTGCCTTAAATATATAAATACCTGCACATATGTACCTTTACGCCACTTATATGCATTCCCCTATGGCGTAATTTTTAAGAAGAGAGTACTGCCCGCCAAAAGCCTCGCATGTAAAAATGTACTCTCCTTTTAATGTTCACGCCATAGTATACCATACACTGTGCTAAGTATCCCACATAATTGCTAAGGCGCCATATTAAAACTCTGGCAGTTTCTATGACCCTCTTAATCGCTAACTTGCACTCAACCAGTAAAATTACCACCGCCATCGCTATAATCGTAGCACATAACACGAGAACATAAAACAGTGCGGGAAACGCTTCCGCCGGAGAATTATAGATTTCAACCTTAGATTCTCTCAAATTGGAACTGAATTTCAAAAATAATTTTGTTTCCAAGCCTTCGTCAAAATCATGCATGAAAAGTAATTGGTCCCTCATAACTTCGAGTGCCTCCCACCTCGCGGTTATTCCGGATTCCCTCAATCTCACAAAACATTTTAATATTGGCGGCGAAATGTAATTGTGGCTGGTATGTGTCAGGGAATTGTATTGAAAGGGTAGATCCTCCAGGCCGTCGAGGGCTAAGCGGTTTCCAGCAATTTTTATTGGTGACATGAATCGGATTAAGCCTTCGTCCCGGTCTATAATTGGTAATGTGGGGTCCATCGGAATTTCCGCGGATTTGGTCGAGATGATCTTTGAGTTGGAAATGTTACTCGAAATCGCTGCCAAATTATACGTTATGGGCGAAACGTAGATTAACCGGTTTACAAAAGTGTGCAGGAAGGTAACAAATTTTTCGTCCCGCCAAGCAGATGACAAATCTGTCCCATTAGATGAAGGTGGTGTTAGAAACTTTATGAGGGGTTCATGCCCCCCGTCTAACGCGGACAATGTGCTGCTTGTAATTATTGTGAGATTAGATTTGGCTAAATCTTTCAAAGTTTTGGGAACAGTAGGAAGCGGTGTAATGGTCAAATCTGACGTGATTGATACCTGGTACAAATTTTGCATGAGAACGTAGCACCCGAAAAGCCAAACGGTAAGGATAGGAATAGCTTTTCTCTGTTTTTGTAACGAGTTCACATTATCACTACCGTTCTGACTCAGCAAAATTGAAGTGAATGCGATTAAATCACGGAGGAATCTGGCACTATATTCTGCCCTGTTTTTAGGGAGGTTGCGCATACCTTGATTAAATTCAATTACAAGAGTTGTTACAATGCACGAAGCTAAAATTAAGTTCCATGTCGAAACATCAAACGGAGTAAAAACGTTCCCATAAGTACTTTCCGCTTTTGGAAATTGTGTTACAATAGAAAATCTAAAATACGTATAGCTTAGGGCGAGTAAAACGTTTGGTCTGTATTGTTCTTCAGAGTAATAATCAGCTAAAATAAATCTGAAACCGATAATCGTCCTTATGTTTTTAAGGCTAAAATTTCCAAAATGTAATCTGTGCATTGCTGTTAAATTGAGTTGCATTTTTATCAGATAACTCAGACAATATTTGGAAGACTCTGTAGGGTGGAATAGGGTGGACTTAGGGTCGGGCCACAAGAAGCAGTTTTGTTAAGAAGTAAAGAATTTGGAGCTGTGAATAGCGCGACGAGACCATCTCCCTGCATGTCCATCTAATTTTTTTGATGCCAGATTGAGTTAATCACATCGAAGGACAAAATGTGGGTAGTCACAAATGTGAGATTGTGACAGGGAAAACACGAAATGAAAATGCCACTTTCGTAGAAGAATATTATCTTGGACGTCCTGATAACACTGAAAAGTTCATCATCATAATTCAATGAATGAGACGGAAATACAAAGATGTATTCAGCTTTTGAATTGATGGAAGTATTGAATTCGACATCGAATAATGACGGTCTAGAAATAAATACAATTTCTGAACGGGGGGATTTTTTAGAACGGTTTTCGCTTTGAATTAACGAAGTGATATTTACGGGTGATTTATAATTTCGTATAACTTTAGGACTGTGATGGTACGAAAGGGGTAAGCGATTTTGTAGCTTAGATTCCCAAATATCTTCCTCCCCGCTGTCCAGTATAAAATGGAGGTCAAACTTGTATAATGCTACAGTACTCTTAATTCCAAGAGCGAAAAGAATAAGTGATACATAGAAAGGACACATTTTTTCATCCTGGAGCTATTTATGTAGATACAAAAGCACAATTTTTGCAATTTCCAATTTTATTTGTGTTGTTATGGTGGAAACCTTAAGTCGAATGTGACTAAAATATTGGCTTAAGTTTGATGCGTACTATACAAATAGAACATGTCGTCCATGGTTAAGACAGAACATTAACATATCGAATTGTATAACAAGCAGGGTGCATTGACTCTGTCCTTTTAGAGTTTCTTGGTAAGGTCATGCCAATCAAAAAATTTGTTTCCAGTTTTATTTATAATATCTGAAATATATTCATGTTGGGAGAGCTTAGTTGTCAAGGAAAATAAAATACCCTAATCTATGTATGTATCATGGAAAGCATATGAATAATTTGTAGGTGCCGCTTCTGACACCTATCCTAAATGGTTCAATTACTTTGTAAATATTTTAATTAGCAATTATAAGTTAAAATCTGTATTGCATTATTTGACGTTTTACAAAGTATTTTATTTTTTTAACAACTTGAGTCAGGTAGTACCTACATACATACATATATTCGCAAACTTTAAAATCTGAAAATAATGGAGAAATTTTGGACTGACATGACCCTATTTCGATATTGGTCAACAGTATAGTCAAAGAAACCCTGACAGAAAGTTGCACGGTGAACAAAATAATTTACTCTTAGAAATGTGGTGTAGCAACGTCTACGTATCTATGTAATTATGATAGTTGGCTTTTGCGACATTAAATGTTCCACCAATTGGTATTAGCATTTTACCATTTGGTGAAAAATAATAATTAGGTGTAAAAATGTGAAAGCTTGGAAGTAGATGTGTGGAAAAGGACACACATCGGAGAAAAGTTATTACCAGTATAGTAACAGTTTATTTCAGAAATGCACAACAGCAAGGCTTTAGATGCATATTTATGATTACCACTTTGGAAAATTATCTAATTCCCATTGTATCACGTGATACGATAAGATTAGACCACGTACGTGGCATTATTGTGTGTTACTAGATTTTTTAGATTGTTTAGAGGATGAGCATGAACTGTTAGGTACTTATTAGAAGCAGATTAATTTTTAATGTTCATATTGGCCTAAGAAGTAGTGGACTTTGAGGTAGGCGCAAACTTATTGTCTGAAAGGATACGTTTCGTGATAACATCCGAACACGATTTCAAACCATTTTGCCACGTATGTATGTATGTGTGTACATATTTAATATATTTAGGTGCTTCTAGACTTCCAGACTTGAGTCGAATGATATTAAAATACAGTCAGGAGCAAAATAATAGGCGATAATGTTTTTATCGCATAATTGTCACATTAGTGAACCAAGTGACTTGAAATTCTGCACTAATATGTACAATGGCATTACTGAGTTATGACATAAGTACGACATACCTGCGTCACCAGGAAAATTTAGTAGCTAGAAAAATTTGAAAAATAGGTGGTGCAAAAAGATAGGCGATCGTCGATATTTTAAATTTAAAAATCTGTATTTAATTTTCTCAGCAATATTTTAAGTTTCTAGTGACTTTTAGTACTTGGAGGCTCCCAATGCTACCAGACAAGGTGATAGGGTTTTGTGACTTGAGTGGAAATATAATTTTTTGATCAACGAACTCTAATTACTGTTAAATATGTGTATTTATACTTGCTTGTAATTATGTGGCCAGTCATTTTATTAATGGGATTCCAAAGATTATTATGGGGTAAAAAAAGTAATATGTTCGGGCAAATATTTAGGGCCAAACTGCATATTTTATCGGGGAAAAATCATATTTTTATGGGGGTCGAAAATTATATCCCTTAAAAATCTGTATTTAATTTTCTCAGCAATATTTTAAGTTTCTAGTGACTTTTAGTACTTCGAGGCTCCTAATGCTTTGAAAACATTCATTAACTCGGGGGTATATAGAGCCAACGTACTATTCTAGCGTCTGTTTCCCCACTTTCGGATAAATGTTAAAAATTGCATCTTTTAGCTAACTGACGTTGTCATACTGCTTCGCAATGTGGTAAACCTCACATACCTATATTGTCCAAAGGTTTCCTATCTAATTTAGGGTGGGAATCTTCCTTGGCCAATCCAGAAAACAGACTTTCCTTCGGACAAAGTAGGTTTAAAGCAGCCTCGAAGAATGAAAATGCGTCTTATGTTTGTCACTAAATAAATTTCGATCTCCAATTTTGACTACCGCCTTCACTAGATGTTCCTGAAGTGGACTAACACGTTAAGAAGCATTTATCTTGCCTTGCATTCACAGAATACTGCCCTTACCTTTACAATAAACGCTGGCCAAATCATGACTCACCCACCACGGAACTCCTGGTGCAGATATAGTGAAAGTTGGAGTGTAGTAGTGCCTAGGCTATGGTACCTGAGCGGTCTGAAGGTTTCCACCTCAACTAGTTCGATATTCGATCCGGCAGGACGGTGGTGGATTGGTCATTATTTGGGCAACATTTGGTATAAGGGTCAGGGCAGTATTCCGTTAATGCAAAGTGCAATGGATATTTCTTAACGTGACAATCTAGTTCCCACACTTCCAGTGAATGCGGTAGTCGAAATGGGAGGGCGAAATTCAGTTGGTTGCAAATGTGACACAGATATGCATTCGTTGAGGCAGACCCATTGGTACTTTTTCCAAATAAAAGCCC